TTATCAGGACTGATTGTGAGGATCAGAAATGTAAAGGTAGACGTTTTATAGCAAGGAGGGGAGTGATTAACTTTTCAGTCTAGGAGCGGAGGTCCCTAGGACCATCAAGGGAGAAGAGCAGAGAGCGGGACCCTACCCAGAGAAGCAGTGATGCCTGAAATGAAGGCAGAGATGATGACATGGCGCAATGGAGCAGCTGGAGACTTTAGATCCAGAGAGGGAAAGCAACTGTGTGCTGAAGACCTGGGGGATACAGGGGAAGGATTACATGGAGGGGATTGTAACCATGGCAATGAGACAATATAAGATAGAATGAATGTAAAACTAATGTTCTCCCATGTAAACTATCACGTAATTCACAATAAAACATTTAAGAAGAAAAAAAAAGAAAAGAAAATGGACGAAATATACAATTACTTTACCAAAAAACAATGGTTGAGGCTCAGCTGTTTTAAGAGGTAACTTATGATCAAGAACTGATGATGATATTGAAGGAATAAGTCCAAGCTGCACTGGAGGCATTAACAAAACACAGCTCTGGAAACTGACAGAGTATCAATTGAAATGTTTCAACAAACTGATGCAGTGCTAGAAGACTTTGTTGTTGTTGTTGTTAAGTGCCGTTGAGTCGGTTCCGACCCATAGCGACCCTGTACAGGGTTTCCGAGGGTGTAAATCCTTACGGGAGTAGAAAGCCTCATCTTTCTCCCATGGAGCGGCTGGTAGTTTCGAACCGCTGACCTTAAGGCTAGAAGACTAGAAGAAATCAATTATTTGTACCCATTCCAAAAAAACTGACCCTACAGAATGCAGAAATTATGTAACAATAGCATCAATATCAGATGCAAGCAAAATGTTGCTGAAGATAATTTAAAAAGCAGTAATGACAGTACATCCCCAGGAACTGCCTGAAATTCAAGCTGTATTCTAAAGAGGATGTGGAACAAGAGAGATCACTGCTGATGTCATATGGATTTTAGTGGAAAGCAAAGAATACCAGAAAAATGTTTACTTGTGTTTTAGTGACTATGCAAAAAGGAATTAAACTGTGTGGTTCATAACAATCTATGGATAACATTTTGAAGAATGGGAATTCCAGAACATTTAATTGTGCTCATGTGGAAACTGTACAGAGAAAAAGAGTTAATGGTTCAAATGAAGCAAGGGGATACTATGTGGTTTAAAATCAAAAAAGGTATGTGTCAGGGTTCTATTCATTCACCGTAATTATTTAGTCTGTACGCTGAACAAATAACCTGAGAAGCTGGACTATTTTAAGAAGAATGCAACATCAGAATTGCGCAAAGCCTCACCAATAACTTGCAATAGGCAGATGACAATCTTGCTTGCTGAAAGTGAAGAGGACTTGAAGCACTTACTGAAAAAGTTCAAAGAATATAGCCTTGAGTATGGGTTGGAACTCAATGTAAAGGAAACAAAGATCCTTATAAGTGGACTAATAGACAACATCATACATAATCAATGGAGAAAAGATTGAAGTTGTCAAGAATTGTATCTGACTTAGAACCACAAAATAACTCTCTTAGAAGCAGCAATCAAGAAATCAAATGACATATTGCACAGGGCAAATCTGCTGCATAAAACCACTTTGAAGTGTTAAAAAGCAAAGATGTCTCTTTGAGGATCTACAATGCACCTGACCCGAGCCATGGTATTTTCCATCACCTCATAGGCATGTGAAAACTGGACAATGAATAAGGAAGGCCAGAGAAGAATTGATGCATTTGAATTATGGGGTTGGTGAAGAATATTGAAATTACAGAGAATTGCCAAAAGAATAATTTGTCTTGGAAGAAGTACAACCAGAATGAGCCTTAGAAACTAGGATGGTGAGACTTTTTCTCATGTACTTTGGTACCAGTTCCTGGAAAAGGGTCAGGGAATAAGAGGAAGACCTCCAATGAGATGGATCCACACAGTGACTGCAACAATGGGCTAAAACAGCAATTGTGAGGATAGCGCAGGATAGCTCCGTGGTTCGTTTTGCCGTGCTCAGAGTCTGAACCGACTGGACAGCACCTAAGAACAACAGTCCATTCAACAGCATTTTATAAACTATGACATAGACTCAGCAGACTGATATAAAAGAAAAATCCAACTCAGTAGAAAAGCAGGCTGAAAATTTAGTCTATAGAGCATAAATCCACTTTGTAAAAGAGTTCCAATTGACTGAATAACAACTGATTTGGGAGGCCAGTGATGGTCCTGTGGTAGAATTGTTGCCTTCTCTGAGGAAGCATTGAGTTTGATTCCTGGCACCTCAAACACCTCCTGGGCTGCCACCACCCACCTGCCATTGAAGATTTAAACAGGTTTCAGCAAAGTTCCAAAACTGAGACAAACCAGGAAGAAAGGCCTGGAAATTAGGCATGGACAACCCTATGGATCACAACGGTCTGCACAAAGGTGCAGGACTGGTCAACACTTCCGTCCCTTGTGCAAGCATGGGGCTGTGAGGTAGGAGTTTCTGTGAATTGGGGCGACTGGATGGCAGCAAAAAGCAACAGCAGGGACACACTTCCAATGTTAGCGAATTTATCTCTGGGTGGTGGCAGCATGAGTACTTTGCTTTTATTATACTGAACAAATATTTCTTGGGTAGAAAAAAATATGATAATCTAAAAGCAAACCAGGAAGTGGGCAAGGCAGGCATTGGTCTCCCTCACTGCCCTTTATTAGTTTAGCCCAACATTTTAGGAGCCATTAGTGCTGGCAAAGGGGGTTGCTGGAGAGAAGAAAGTCAGGATTCTGGGCCCAAAGGGTCTGGAGGCCACCAGGAAGGCTTAGGGCACGGACTTGAAGAGTATAAACAAGAGCTATTAGTGACGATATGTATCTGGAGCCAAGCGACTCCACAGTACCTAATAGCAACAACTGCTTAAGATGGAAGACAAAATGTAGGGGGGCTCCAGATGTGGGATCCTCCCCAAGACTTTGGAGAGGGAAGAGAATGCGGGGGAGGAATCGGGGAGTTCTGAATTTCAGTCACTCTTTTCCTGCCAGCATTAAGATGGAAGCCTAGCGACTCAAAGTGTCCACTTGGGCTGGCTTCACAAGTTGATGCGTTTGCAGCTATAAATTCCCATATTGCTCCTGGGAACTGCAATGATCAATGCATTCCCAAGGACTGGGACGACTAGGACTAGGCTGTGGGCCTGGAATTGTCTCTGTGAGGCCCTATTTTTGTCTCTTTGTTTCATTTCCAGTTTTTCTTTGTGTATGTGTGTCAGTGTGTGTGTGCATGTGCAGAGCCCAGTGTTGCAAGAGATAAAGAGGTTGTAAAGAGAGAAAGTGCAGGCCCCCAGCGACGTTGAGCCCCTACGGCGCCCCCCCATACACTTGACCCTGCCACCAGAGGGCACCCGAGTACTGAGACACCGCAACTTAGTGAGGGAGGAGTCGGTGAAGCGTTCGCACTCTCCTCCGCATCTCCAGAGCTACTACTCTCAACCGAGAATCTGGACGCGGTCTTTCAGCTCGGGAGTAATCCTGGAGGCTGGGACTCGCCTCTGTGAAACTGCATGTTGCTTATTACCATGACCGCTACCTGCTACCAGGTGCCAATGTTACAATGTTATCCCAGAAGCTTTGGGGTGTAAACCGGATCGAGGCGCTACTGCTAGAAGTATTCATGAGATGCGAAGAATACGAGATGTGGAGTCAGCGGTCAGCATTCTCCAAATGACCTTTCTTTGGCCGGGCGGGGTTTTCTCATCTGTAAACAAGGTTGGGGAATAAAGGGGACTCCGTGGTACCAAGCACCCTTCGGTCTCTAACAAAAGACATGCACCATCTTCCTTGCAGAACCTTGAAGAAGGGCAGAAAAAGACTAGAAGCAAGAACTAAAGGGTCGCAGAATGTACAGCCACTCCTCGCTCCGGCAGCGCAGGTGCACTTTGCACTGAGCTGAGTCAGTGCGGAGCGCGGAACCCAGACCTTACCACACTCTTGCCCCTCTTTCGGACCCTCAGCCCAAATATCCTCTCCCGGGCTTCCCACGGCCCGACCACCCGGACAGTGGGGAGCAATCAATGGAGGTTTCAATGGTGAGTTTGGAGCGCTAACCCTGACCCCAGCCTCTCTGCGAGGTCAACTATCCTGAGGGCGTTCTCCCTCCGCACCGCGCCCTAGCGGCTTCTCTCCATTACAGATACCAGCGATGGTGAACAGACCTAGGGACCCGCAGCGCTCTAGGCTGGGGCGGATCCACTTGCGGAGGGTTGGGAGTAATGGACCCACGTACTTTATCTCGGTGACTGAAGCTTGGGAAGTTGCCTCTACTCGGAGTTCCCTGCTTCCCATCCCTGCCAGATTCCCCCCACCCCCCATCTCTCCCAGTCTTGGAAGCCTAGGCCCCGTAGATTCAAGAAGTCAAGAACCTGAAGAAATGCACTGTGCAAATATATTGGCTTTATTTGTCTCCATTCGGGAGCCTCACATACATATCCAAGTAAAAAGATCGTTAAATAAACGCCGTCAGCCATCGCAATGCAAAAATAAATATCAATCCTCCAGTCGCAGCCGCAGCTGTGCTGCGTCCCAAGTCGCATCGACCGCGCCTAACAATTACAAAAGTGTTCAGCGAGTGTTTGCGTGAGTGTGAACGAGTGTGCGCCGGGAGCACGGTGGAGCGGTGTGCAAATTCGGAGTTGCAAACCGTTGGACAAGAAACTGCCTGGGGCGCGGGCGTCTCCACGCGCGCACACTCACAGCACAGTTTGTACTGGGAAGAGTTAAAAAATAAACATTTACAAGGGCAAAGAAAGCGGTCCCCTCCCCTGTGGCCCCACGAGCCCTCCGGGCAAGGGTGAGCGCGGCTCTGGACACACAGACTAGTTCACAGCCCGCTGGGCATCCAAGCGCGCGGGGGGGCGGCGGGCCCGGGGCCCAGGGGGCGGAACGCCGTCTCCTCTCCGGATCGAACGCTGGTCCCCTGACCGGCCGCAGAGGTGCGCGGTCCCCGCTCCGGACGGCACCCGTCACAGGGCCGAGTCGGAATCGCTGGAGTCTAGGCTGTTCCTCAGTTTGCAGCTGCTGAGCTGGTCCCTCTGCAGCGACAGGCTCTGCGTGCTGCGGCGCAGGCATTCCAGACTCTGCAGGAACGATTTCTTGGCCTTCTCTTCCTCCATGGGGGACACTCCCTCCTCCTCCACCTCCTGGATCTCGTCGAAGGTCACCGGCTGCGTCTTGAACCGGGACTGGCGCGGCCGCCGCAGCCGACCCTTCCCTTTGGACAGCTTCGCGGGCCGCACGGGTTGCGGGAATTCGTCGGCCAGGCACACGAAGTGCGGCATCACCGCCTGGTAGTTGGAGCAGATGCCCATCAGTTCACCGGACTTGGCGGCTGTCATGGCGCTGCCGGCGTCTGCAGGGTCGGGCTTTGGGGTGCTGGGGCTCTCCGCGGGCGGCCGCTGCGCCGGGGCCCCCCGGGAGGCAGCCGCCTGGGGCTCGCCGGGCGGGGGATCCAAATCTGCTGCGGGGTGGCGGCGGCCCTCACGGGCCCGAGCCGGCGTTCCTCGGGAGGGCGGTGGGCGGGGGGCCCGTCGGGGGGCAAGGGACTCTGGGGTCGCTGCTCTGCCGCACTCCGAGACGCACGCCGCCGCTGCCGTAGCTGTCTGCCCCGCGGTGGCCCAGCCCGCAGCTTATATAGCCCGCTCCTGCCCACACGGCTGTGAGCTCCGATGACAGCGAATGCCATTTAAAGCGTGCGCGCCCCGCGCCCTTCCGCCGGACGTCGCCCCGCCACTCTGGGAAAGTAACGGCCCCTTCCCCGGCGCGGCCCGCCTCCCGCCCTCCACCAACCCAGCTCCGGAAGGCAGGCCCCGCCCGCGGGGGTTCCGGAGAATCCCAGGCCCAGGAGCACGCGGAGGGCGGCCCGGGGACCAGGTCTTCAGATCGGCCCAAATGGGCTGTCACTGTCCTTTCTGGGATTGGTCCAAATCTGTGCCATCCCGGGTTGCCACGGGGACACAGGTCCTCTTCCCCGCCCTTACTCTCAGACGCACACACTCCAGGCGCAGATTATTCCGCCACTGGTAGCGCGTTGGGGCGCGTGGCAAGATGCAGCTCCCAGCTCCCCCAGCAGCAGGAAAGCCAGTGCGCAGGACTCCCAGTGCTGAGCTCGGAGGAAGGAGAAAGTGTCTCTTCTGGATCCTTGCCTCCAGCTTCCTTCAACACACACACACCTAACACAAACAACACTCCCCCCCCATCCCCCCATTATTCCATACTGGTTCTTCCTTGTGTTGGTTTCCTCACTCACCTCCAAGTTCCTCCAGCACTCCATTTATTCATGCTCGGTAAACAACGACCCTGAGATCTGATACTAACCACAATATTGTACCTCCAGTTACCTCCTGTAAACACCAAAACCAGCCAGTGAATTGTTTTGCATGTATTTAATCCTCCTAACAACCTGAGTGATAATTGGTACTTCCTGTTTTACATCCCCAGAACCGAAGCACAGAGATGATAAATCACTTACCCACTATAATGAGTTGGTTTCTGGAGTCCATGTCTTCTAACCCTGCTAAGCGTTGAGACAAGTCAGCCAAAGCCCCCCAGGACTCCTCAGGGCTTCTGAGAGCAGGCTGGCAGCCCCCTGCCAGCATATGAAGTTATTGAAAATACCATGGCTTGGGTCAGGCGCACCTTAGTCTTCAAGCTGACATCTTTGCTCTTCAACACTTTAAAAAGGTCTTGTGCAGCAGATTTGCCTAATGCAATAAGTCATTTGATTGACTGCTGTTTCCATGAGTGTTGATGGTTGATTTGAGCAAAAGGAAGTCTTCGACAATTTCAATCTTTTCTCCATTTATATGGATGTTGTTTATTGATCCAGTGGTGAGGATTTCTGTTTTCTTTATGTTCAGATGCAACCCATAACAAAGGTTGTGGTCTTTGAACTTCATCAGTAAGCATTTTAAGTTCTCTTGACTTTCAGCAAGCAAGGTTGTATCATCTGCATATCGCAGGTAATTAATGAGTCTTCCTCCAATTCTGATGCCACATTTTTCTTCATATATTCTAGCTTCACGGTTTATTTGCTCAGCATACAGGTTGAATAAGTATGGTGAAAGAATACAACTTTGGCACACACCTTTCCTAATTTTAAACCATTTGGTGTTCCTTTGTTTTGTTTGAACAACTGGCTCTTGGTCTATGTACAGGTTCCTCATGAGCACGATCAAGTGTTCCACATAACTCATTCTCTACAATGTTGCCCATAACAACCCTGCATAGGGTTTCCAAGGAGCAGCTGATGGATTTAAACCACTGACCTTGTGGTTAGCAGTCCAGTGCTTATCCTACAGTGCCATATCAAGACTCTGTCTTTCTTCTGCATCATAGCAACACAGAAATCTCTACTGTCAGTGTGGAAAGCAAGAATTCTACCATTGTCTCACAGCTACAAATACTGTGGCATGGGCTGAGCCAATACAAGGCAGGCAACATGGAAACAGATATTGGAGGACAGAAAGCTGATGATCCTTGTTATGCTGTGACAAAACATTTGTGTGTGTACTTTTAAATCACCTGTGATTACCTGGAAGATATACCACATGCCTACTAAGTCTATCATTCTAGAAAACTGGTTGGAAAGAGCCCAAAATGGCTGCATGTGTTGGCTGCTTGATGCTGCTTTTAGCAAGGTATTTATTACAAGACAGAGACTGGCCTGTTTGTGAGCAGAGATGGACAGAAATAGAGTGTCCAGAAAACTGGTGTCTTCAGAGTTGGAAAAGCCAACTGGTCTTGTCAAAACAGCAGAAGATCAGATTGTTGTGACTCAGAACCTTTCTCAATGCCTGTTAGACCAAACATTAATTCACACAAAGGGATCACGCCTGCAACAAGCATTAATTTACAGTGTTGCCCTTCTATGCAAGCCTATGATTTCAGATGGCCTTAAGGCAAGGTTCATATAAATGAGGAAGAAAGGGATGGGTTGGGCAAGGAAGTCAGACTTCAGGACTTGATCCAGAAAGGAACTTCAGGTGTGGCTATTGGCACACAGAACTGGCTGGAAGCAGATAGATCTAAAACTGACTATGTTTTGGAAGGAATATTCACTATCAGAGAAATTGCAAAGTTGGACGACAACATGTCAGGGCTGTCCAAGTCCAATTCAGCTTCCAAAGAAACTCTCAAACACTGTCTTGGGTGGACAGTGATGTCAAAGGAAGGGCAAAACCAAGGGCCAGAGGACACTGGACAATAGGGTCACCCCCCAGACAGCAGATCCAGGGTCTAATCAGACAAGCACTTGCACTGGATGGGCTGTGGGGAGATGCTAACTGCCCACCCAGCTGGGTTACGTTTCTCAGCTTCCCTTGCAGCTATGTGGAGACACGGCTCTAAACTCTCCTTAGTGGAATGCAGACAAAAGTGATACATGAGGACTTCTGCCTCACTTAGAATTCCATGTTTTTCTCCTCAATCTGACTGGAAGATAACCAACAGAGAGAGACCTAAACGCTCCCTATTAGAGATGGCAGAGCCAACATTCGTCTGAATCCTTAACCCATCATATGGAACTAAGCTAGCCTACCCTCCTGAAACATTTTCCTTGGAACTGAGAGTGCAATCAAGTGGATATTTTAAAACCAGTCTAATATGGGAACTCCTTATTTTCTCAACTTGGCATTGTCCTAACTAGAGCCATCAGACATCCAAGTGGAAATGCCAAGCAGGCCACTGATACTCAGGGAAGAGGTAAAGTTCTGGAATCTGAGTCACAGTGGATACAGATGGAGACTGGAAGGAGGATGGGCTTTCAAGGAGTCTAAGAAGAAGTGACCATCAATGGAAGACGAAGGCCAGGGGAGCGTGTCAGAATCTAAGAGAAGGATGCTTATAGGAGGAGGGAGACCACTGGCATGGGTGTCTAGAGACAGTTCCTGGCCTGGCTCTATCATGAACTTGCTGGAGGCCTTGGATAAGCCGCTTGTGTTTCTGAACTGCAGATGTCATCTCCTCAAAGAGCTCTTCCCTCTAACGTCACCCCTTAGTCATTCTACCCTTTTTGCTTCACTCTCTAAAGTTTTCTAGCTTGTATTTCTGTGTTAGCTGCCTTTCCCATTGGGCTGTCAGCCATGCCCACGCCTCACCCCAGCACCTAGGACAGAGCTGGTATGTGGTAGTGGGGCTCATGGGTCCTGTTGAATCAACAGCCACCCTGCTCCGCTGCTCCCGTACCTCCTGGCTGACCGAGGAAGGCGCTGTACCAGAAGCAGCCTACCTCCATGAGGGCCTCCTTTCTAACACAAACAGCTCCTCCTGCCCCAAATGTCCAGGCTAGGGGTTGAGAGATCCTATCATGCCTCTCTACAACCCTGGATTGGAGACTCCCCCACCCTGGCCTGGGGAGGTGAAAGTGGGAAAGGAAGTGAGCCCTTCACAGCCAGTACTTCCAAATTAGCCATGAGATCATCCCCTTGGCTCCTCTGCCTGCAAGTCTGGCTGTGGGCCCCGCTCACATGTGGCCTGAGAGGGGAGGGTGGACACAATTGAAATCTTTGCTCAAGGATGAGAAATGAACTCCCACACTGTCTCAATCCCCTGGTCCTGCCACTGACCCTTCCCCACTCAGGTCTCCCTCCCCATCAGGAGATCTGTCACCAAGACCAACTTTCCCCTCCCCCCACCTCCCAGGAGCCCAGCCAAGGGCCACTGTGCAGTTAGAAGAACACAGACAGAGATTTTGGAATGTAGGAAATGCCATCTCTGCCATTGGCTTAGACTCAGCCTGTGACCTTGGAGCAGTCGTACTGGGAGGTTCAGGCGGTGCATCTAGAAAGTCTAGGTAATGCCTCTGGGGCTGGTGATAGATAGATGCATGGAAAGTTCCCAGCCTGGCGCCCAGCAGAGCTTGAGCATAAAATAAACATTCCTTCACTATCTCATGTCCAGATTTACCCAGCCTCCCAACTCTGTTGAGGAGATGTCAGGGAAAGGTGCCAAGAAGCTTCTCGTGCAGAGGGCACTTTGGGGGTTTGATATCTTCTCCTCCCTATCTCAGTCACAATTGATAAGAGGAAGCCATCAAAGTAATGTGGACTCTAAGGAATATCTCCTGAGTTCTGGTGTGGCGCTGTGGGTTAATGTGCTGGACTGCAAAATCGGTTTGAACCGCAAGGTCAGTGGTTCAAGCTCACCAGCTTCCACTCCTTGGAAACCCTATACAGAGTCACTATGGGTCAAAACTGATTCGACAGCACGTAACAACAACAAGAAAAAAGAATATCATCAGTGGGGGATTTCAGGCAGCAGAGGAGAATCATGTTGAGGTGATACTACCTCAGTACCCAAATTGATCCTGGAGGGTCTCAGGGATATCAGTTCCTCTTTCAACAGACCCCGCTCACATCCATCCTTCCCGCAAAGGCTGAAGGGTCAGATTTCCCCCTCTGTAGGGAGGGTGGGGTGAGGTATCCAGTGAGAACTGCCGGTACCTAGAAGTGGTGTGCAGAGCTGGGAAGGACTGGGCATGGCGCCATCTTCACAACTGTTATATTTGAGAGTGTTGTTGTGACCACTGTGTCTGTCCAGCTCATTGACGGCCTTCCTCTTTTTCACTGACCCTTCACTTTACCAAGCACGATGTTCCTCTCGACAACATGTCCAAAGCATGTCAGACAACGTCTCACCACCCTGGATTCCAAGGAGTAATCCAGCTGCACTTCTTCCAAAACAGATTGATTTCTCTAGCAGTCCATGACATATCCTTCTCCAACACCATCACTCAAATGCACTGATTCTTCTCCAGTCTTCCTTATTCATATGAGGTGTTTGAAAATACCATATCTTGGGTCAAGCGCTGCTTAATAGGGCTGGGATTAATTCGTTAATAGGCTTGGGGGGGGATCACTTTGGGCTTTTCCAAGAAGTGAAAGGTTGACTCACCTGAAGTAGGGGTTGACCATTAAAGGGGGTGAAAGAGCCCCTCTTCCCATCAGGGTTGTAGCCCTGGGGTTGCAGAGGACTGGCATATACAAAACATAACCCAAAGGATTGTAACCATAGCCATGAAACAATATACGATAGGATAAATGTAAAACCAATGTTCTCCCATGTAAACTATCACATAATTCACAATAAAACATTTTTTAAAAAGAAAAAAAAAACATAACCCAAAGAGGTTTGCCAAAGTGCTGACCCCTGTCCCTGTGAATGGGACCTGTTTGGGGAAATAGTGTCTTTGTTGGAAGATACGATGAGACAAGTCATTCCAGGAAAGGGGGCTCCTAGTCCTAATCCCTCTGTTGTTGTTGTTGTTGTCAGGTGCCATTGAG